TTGAGTTCGATACCAGACCAGAGCATTGGTGAAACAAAACTTAGAGAGTTGAGTTAAAAAGAAATAACTGAGATATCCGGAAGAGGAAGGACACGTGGAACTAGAATAATCTACAATGGACGAAATAAAGGGTTCAGTACGAAATTCCAATCACCTGAAGAACGTCGGAGCATACAACGGCCGAAACGTTGTGAATATGGCAATGAAGATGATAAAAGTCCGAATTATGTAAATAACGGAAGTAATCATAATACCTCATCTCAGAGATATAGACAGAGTTATAGACAGACATAGACATAAAGGCCGGAGCGTATAACGGCCGAGACGTTGTGAATATGGCAATGAAGATGAGGATAACAGTCCGAATAATGTAAATTATAAATAATCATACACCTCATCTCAGAGATATAGACAGAGTTATAGACAGACATAGACATAAAGGCCGGAGCGTATAACGGACGAGACGTTGTGAATATGGCAATGAAGATGAGGATAACAGTCCGAATAATGTAAATAATGCAAATAATCATAATACCTCATCTCAGAGATATAGACAGAGTTATAGACAGACATAGACATAAAGGCCGGAACGTAAAACGGCCGAAACATGGTGAATATGGCAATGAAGATGAGGATAACAGTCCGAATAATGTAAATAATGCAAGTAATTGTACCACCTCATCTCAGAGATATAGACGGAGAAATGTGACATAAAGGCTGGAGCGTACAATTGGCGATGGACAGATTGCAGAAAATGCCAGAGAAAAATGTTAAAGTCATCCCAGTAGTGTTTTGGACACTTGGCTTACATATTTGTGCACAAAGTCAGTCATGCATGGATCCTGATAGACGTTGCTGTATGTTGGGAAAGATAAAATATAGAGAAAGCAGGAACAGTCATGTCCAGTTTGAGGAATATTCCACGCTGCAACTCGTTTTATCGATTTTGTGGCACTTGGTACAAATAGACGCCTTGGAAGTGTGTAGGTGGCAACGCTACTCAGAACAGCGGTACTGGGGAAAGTGTTGTGCCACTAAGTTGAGTGTAAGAACTGAGATATAAGCATCCTTACCCCGTAGAAACATGCAAATGTCGTTGTAGATATAAATTAATGACAATAATTGTTGAAAAAAAATGTGTAGCGAACTTCGTAAGGCATCTTAGTGTACAGAATGAAAAAAGTTAAATGGAAGTATTAAACTTTAAAATTTTAGGAGCTTTTTTATCGTAACTTGAGAATTTAGAAAACTTCTAACGTGATCGAAATATTTAATATCCAATCTAGATTGACTGATTTCTTTTTTACGGTTTACAACCCTTTGCAAGTTATTTAAAGCCAAAAAATATTTTTAGATTGTAAGAATTTTAGGGGCGGTAATCATGATTTACTGATACAAATTTTACTATTTAACCCATAGCTGCCAGAAGACGACAAGTATTCATACCTTTTCTAATGTGATTTGCCCGTGAATTAATATGTGACACTATTCAGCTATGGTAATTGATTAACTAATTAACCATAAAAAATTTAAACAAGAAATATTAAGAACGGAAAGAAGATATCCTGAAAGATAATCCATTCGATATTAAAAAAGATTTTATTTTATTTCCCAATAACTTACTTTTCTCAAATACCCGAGAATTGGCGAAAAACAGTGAACTCACAAAAAGGCCATATGTGAGCTTTTGACAATTGATTAATGATGTTTGTAAAAGTACTGGTTAAAGAAAAACCAAGGACAAGATATCATTCGAAATTGCAAGATTTTAGAAATCGACCAGGCGATGAGGCCATATGTTGATTATAAAAATTATGGCATGAGGAAATATTCCGATACGGGGTGGAGAGAATTACCATTATTTATTTTTCTCAATGAAGGCAATGGTTCGCGTAGACACTAAACTTCACGAAGGGGACAAAATGGCGGGCTTTGACAATTCCTTGATGACGTTGTAAAAGTACTGATCGAGGAAAGCACAGAATAACCAAACGTCGAGGATATGGTTTTAAGTGTCCACGTGTTGATTATAGAATTTCGGTATGAGAAAATATCTTGAAAGAATTGCTGATTTGAAGATAAAGAGATTTATTTTTCTTTTCTGAGAAGCCAAGGGTTCCTGCAAACCATAACAATTGATTTATGTTGTTTGTAAAAGCACGGGTTAAGAAGATGCAAAGTGACCAGGAGCGTCGAAGATATCAGAAATTTTAAGAGACAGAGCCATGTGTTATTAGTAAGAATTTTGGCCGGTGAGAACGAAAATTTGGTAAACAAAAATACTAGTTTATAATTTTAATGAGGCCAGCTTAGCCACACCCACACGGCCTGGACGCCATTGGTCGAGTGGTGGCAATGGGGATAGGTGGAGGAAATTTGGTGAGAAAGACGGGGAAATTATTAACGCCCACTGAAAGGAATTGGTATGAGGTACCAATGTGAGAAGGAGGGAGTTTGGGAGGATAGTTATCCTGCAACCTCTCCTCACGACGGAGGGTATCACCCCCAAAATGGAAAGTAATTAATTTTCCCAAAATGGGAAGTAATCAATTTTCCTAGCCAGACAACAAAGAGGTCCCTTGTGAGAAATTGGGGTTCACCGAAAACCCCAGGCTGCGTCCAAACCAGCACCGGTTTTTGGTCAGTGTCCATATAAGCTAGCACCCTTGGGCAGTTCGAGCTGCAGGATCCAGAGCGTTGCCTCGCAGAAGCTGACCGAGAGATTCCACGACCTTCGCCTTCTACTAATAGCAAGTTATACTGACGAACGAAGCTAAGCCAGCACTTAAAAACTAAATCAGTTTACTTAGAAGACCAGAACTTGCCAAAGAAATATAAATGTGTCACTCTCGAAGAAACGGGTTGGGAGAAAAACACACAGACAGATAAAAGTTGATTTTTTTCTTTCAACACGCTTGGACCTCTTGTGTTTTTATTTGCTTCATTTCTTTACGCTTGTGCGATGTCGCCTCATCTTACACTACAGTCCGATGCCTGATTGATTTCGTCTATCTAAGATCAAAATCACAACGTGAGTAGGTTAGACTTGAGACCGGAGTAGTTGCTTCGGTAACCAGACATTGGAAGTGAGCTAAGTGTCGAATCGGTTGCATGTGGTATGAAGCCGTTTGAAATCGACTGACTATCCCACTTGTTACCCTGAACAAGGGATCCCGCCGGACAGCGACAACCACCGATCGACCGGGACACGGGTTGGTGGGAGCGACTAAAAGTCAATCCCAAAACTCTGGTAGGAGAAATATCACAGTTTCGCGCTGCGACTTGGAGTTGACCAAAGTGTCACAAATATAACGAACCCGAATTTGCACCCGACTCTCCGATTTCTATTTCCGAAATGTTATCTATTACACCACCCGCACATATTACAGCACTTTATTATTAAGTGGTCACTCAACTGATTCGACATTGCTTAACTTCGGTAATCGTAAGCCCTAATCTAAAAATGAGATCTCAGTAGTATTAGCAATGTCGTTAAATGGGAATATTTCTTGATACTTGATGCTCAGGATATATCCACAAAATTGGAATTTATGTTACCTAACACCCCTATTGGGGACAATGAAATGTTATACAAATGAAAACGGGATTCCAATGTCAGAGTTGACTATCAAAGCAAGGTCCTTTCAAATCTACGAGGATGTTTATAGCTCTTGACGTTGATTGTAGCAGGTGATGAATTGAAAGAATGACCCTCTTCAAAAACCTTGTTCGGACAAGTGAACACCTTTGTTATTTAATTTTCTACTGGTTCAGTTTTCAGTCTGCATGTTTTGTATAATCTGCAAGCGAAAGAAGAAAAGAAAACTTTTGTCTACAGAAAAATATATTTGCTATCATACTAAACAAAACATTCCACTGCATTTACACTATATCTATAATTTTCAAAATGTATGTATGTCTGTCTGTGTGATCGGATGTTGTTTATGCATTTCCACTGTTTTCATCCGATTTCGATTATTTTTTATACACAATTCTTCAGTGACAGTTTTGAGTCCAAATTGTTTGCGAAGAATGGCTCTCCACTACTTCCTGTCCATTATAACTCTCAGCAACGTTTTACTGTTTACTATCTGTTTTTGTAAATATATCTTTCATAAAAACTTTAATAAATATTAATAGTTTAAATTATTACATTAATATTATTTATTATTATACAGCTCCCTTTTCAAATGACCCCCCTCATTCAAATTGTAAACCCCCATTCAAATTGTAACCCCCCCATTTGGGGATGTGCGTCAGTTGCACCCAAATGTTTTTACAAATATTGATTTTCGGGTGGGCTGTCTTTAAATGTAAACTGCTCCAAATAAATGGCAAAATTTCCCAGTAATGAAAGACCCGGTCAAAGACGTGTTATACTGCTAGCGCCTGATAGATTCTAAACTATACAGCAAAATCCTGCCAAAAATATGGAATTAACACAGTTGTTCACATTAAGTCATCCGTTGAATGCATTAATAAAATATTAACAGATAAGACAGAAAACAATTTAATTCTGGTTTTAAAAATTATACCTTAAATATACTTGATTCAATTAACTGTATATTAATATGCTTGTAACTATGTATGGCCTGTGTCACGCTTGGCATCATAGATACTGATATAGAAACAGAAAGAAAGAGGAACACAGAGAATGGAACAGGGGAGAAAAGGAGAGAGTAAGAGTCATAGTGATCCAAATGAGAGTGCGATACAAAGAGGGAGTGGAAGGAGGGTAAGTTTAGATAAAGTTTGTAATGAACTAAGGTTGTGCTGAGTAGGTATTTGATGTAAGCAACGACGAAGCTTTAGAGAATATAGAAACAAAAAGGAAATTTATACGTAACATCAAAAAGAGTCAGTTACAATTTCTCGGGTAAATAATGAGGAAAGAAGGCTTAGAAAATTTGATACTTAAAGTAGAGAATGAAGGTAAAAGATATAGAGGAAAACAACGCCAAACATCCTTAGTGACTTTTGAGAATAAAATATTGTTTTAATCATATCTTAAGCGAATTTGTTGCAGAGTAAGTGGACCTGGGTTGTGTTGAGCGCCGGCACGAGAAACACAATGACAAGGGGACAAAGAGAGTAAAGACAGTATAAGAATTTAAATATCTGGGAAGTGTTTTAACAGAGGACGGAAAGTGCGACACTGAAATCCGAAGGCGTATTGGGATAGCGGAAGATGCCTTTCAAAAGCTAAGCAGAGTATTAAGAAACAGAAACAATAGTTAGGAACAAAGAAATTAATACGGAACTGTTACGTAATATCAGTCTTTCTATATGTCAATGAATGATGAAGAAATGATTCGGAGCAACAGAACTGTGGATCTACAGAAGAATTTTGATAAAACCATGGTCCGAAGATGTAAGCAATGACGAAGCTTTAGAGAAAATAGAAACAAAAAGGAAATTTATACGCAATATCAAAAAGAGACAGTTACAATGTCTGGGGTAAATAATGAGGAAAGAAGGCTTAGAAAATTTGATGCTTAAAAGGAGAGAATGGCAAGAAAAACAACGCCAAACCACTTTACTGAGCTTGTGTAAATGGATGGCGAAAAAGTTGTAGAATAAATAACCAAACGAGAAACTTTATTAAGAGGACCTTTATTACAAAGGACACGAAAATGTGGAGATCCGTGATCGCCAACTTCCTGAAGGGACACGTCACATACAAGAAGAAGTCATTTTTCTTAAAACTATCTGAAAATGACATTGTTTGAATATGCTGAGTTCAGCATTAACAAATTTATTCGCAAATCTGTGTAATTTACAAGACTGTTATGTTAAATGAATTACCTTAATTTCCCATGTATAATACACATTTTTTCTAAAAAAATAATAAGCAAAATCAGGGGTGCGTATTATGCACAGCTACAAAAATCTTTAAAAAATTGACATAAAATAAAATAAAAATTATCATAAAACTAAAATAAATAAAATTATTCTATGTTTAAAACCGTGTTTTAAATAAGAGTAGAAAACGCTGGTCATAATGAAATTTGCCAGGTACAATTTATAGGGTTTGATTACCAAACAAGGGGTGCGTATTATACATGAGTAGAAGCATTTTTCAACACTTTCAGCACAATTTTAGTTATTATGGATAAAGGCGTACTATACATAGGAAATTACGGTATCTGTTTTTCGCAGGCCATGGAGAGGAAAGTTTTGTGGAACAACCAAATGTCATAACCTTGTACAGATAAAGTAAAACTAAGTGAACATCCCCTAAGTGGGCTACTTTCATAATTTTTACCAGGTATTTTCATATAGAGCCATATCCCAATACCATTTTGACTAGACAAAGCAAAACCAGTTTGGGCTGAAATGTCGACTTACATAATTTACGCACCTGACAGACAAGCGTATATACGAAACTCACTCAGTAGAAAAAGAATTAGCAAAATCTATGAAGCGAAATATGTTTGCTGCATACAAATAAAAGGTTTGGGAGTAGAAATAATATGGAAGAATAGCGTTTTGACTCAATCAATATTTCTGAATTGATTTGAAATGTCATGAAGAAACTTACATTTATAGCTATAATTATTGGAGCATGTAAGCCAGTTTGGAATATTTCTTGGTCTGACGGGTAAGACATTAAAAAAGAATTTCCACGGGGATCACGAAAAACGGTCAGAAATGAATAGGAATATATAAACAGATATGAACACGTGAAATAGATAGATAGATAGATAGATAGATAGATAGATAGATAGATAGAAAACAAGCAAACTAGCCAGAAAGATAGATAGATATAAATACAGATAGATAGATAGATAGATAGTGTTGAAACTTGACTAATGCATGGAATAATAATGCAACACAAAAAGGTACTTAGAACAAAATGTATTGAAACAAGAAAGTGTACACAATATTTACATATAGGCTTTTGTATATTCCTGGGAAGACCGTTCCTGGAGAATGGGTTGACTTAGTCGCAGTTGGGCAGAGTCTCTGGATTGAATCTCTTGATTCCTCCACTTCTCTTCCCGGTACCAACCATATTTATATGGTCGGTACTCCACTATGCAAATTATGTGGATCCTACCACAACAGATAGATAAATAAGTTTGAGTCATTATTAATTTCCCTTTTTAGTTACCAATTGTAATGAATGATGTATCATCGTAATAATCAATCATATGTGGCAGTTACATAAACTAACATCTATTAGATAGATAGATAGATAGATAGATAGATAGATAGATAGATAGATAGATAGATGAGGTTAAGTTATAAGTAATTTCCGTTTTGGATAACTAATTGTAATTATGATTGTCTAATTCTAACTACTAATCAATAGCGGCAGTTTAATGGAGTACACTAATAGATAGATAGATAGATAGATAGATAGATAGATAGATAGATAATTTGGTTGACTCTTAAATAATTACAGTTTTGGGGAACCAATTGAAATGACAAAGGCAGAATAAGATGGATGGGTAGGTAGAAAAGAATAAGATAAAATCATCTGAAATAGATACACGCACTCAAAAGCACAAACACACACACCTATGTATACACACACACACACACACACACACACACACACACACACAGTCCCCTCCAAAAGTCTTGGCAGGACAAGACCAATTCCTTTGTTTTTGTTGTTCACTGAAGACATTTGATTTTAAGATCAAAATATGAACATGAGACAAACTTTCAGATTTTCACCTTCTAATTCCTGATATTTACATCTGGGTGTGTTAAACAGTTTAGGACATCCCACCTTTATATCAGAGCACCCCGTTTTATGTGAGCAAAAGTAAAGGAACAGAAGTCTTAAAATAAATAACATTTAATATATTATTGCGTAACCCTTGTTTGCTATTTATTACATCAAGACTGCGACATATTGATAACATTCTTCATTTATGATACTTTTCCAGACGTTTAACGTATCCTCTTTCAGTTCTTGCTTATCTGAGGTTTTCTTCCTTCATTCTCCTCTTCTGGAGAGGAAATGCCTGTTTTATTTGGTTAAGGTCCGGTGATGGACTTGCCCATTCTAAAACTGTAATTTTTTCCCTTGATTAAGTTCTTTGTTTTGTTGGCAGTAAGTTTTAGTTCATTGTTCTTTTGCCTGATGAATTTCCTCCTGATTAGTTTGGAAGCATTTCTCTGTAAATTGGAAGAAAAATATTTCTGTAGACTTCTAAATTTATTCTGCTGCCTCCATCATAAGTTACATCATCAATAAATATGAATGAGCCTGTTCCAGAAGCAGCCATAAAAGCCCAAGCCAAACACATTGCCACCACCATCCTTTGAAACAAAAGCAGATACCTTTTTTCTTCACACTGTAGCCTTTCCATCACTTTGGTAGAGACCTCAATAGTTCATAAAAAATCTTCCAGAACTGTTGTTCATCTCTTGCAAATTCCAATCTAGACTTCCGATTCTGACTGCTGATGAGTGTTTTACATCTTGTGGTATGGCCTCTATATTTCTTCTCTCATTTTTTTCTTTTAACGATGAATTGTGAAACTGTCATCCCTGCATTGTGGATGTTGTTGGTGATGTCACTGATTCTTGTTTTTGTGTGTTTCCTCACATGTCTCACAATGTTTGTGTCATCAACTGCTGTTGTTTTCCTTGGTTGAC